ATTTTAAAAATGCATATAGCTGTTGGTCTCATACCTAAACAATGACCTAGGACATATGATCATTCAACTATGTACCTATATACCATCTAATTCTATGTATCAATGGAACCCTTGGGACTATTTCACTAAAATTCTAAACCACATAATCATAATCCAGCATGTCAGTGACTATTAACCTTCACCTACTGTCTGTGTGCGTGTGTGGGAAAAGACTGGGAAATTCTGACACACTTGAAGTGAGGGAGAAAAGACTATAGACCTGAAGAAATGTGGATATAAAATCATCCCAACTCTTAGTAAGATAGCCTCCTGGTAACAATCAGAGAATGACACCTATGTCTTCAAACCAAAAAAAATCTATAGAAAAATGCCTGAAAATGAACTAACAATTTAGAATTACAAACATGTAGAATTAAAGCCAAGTGAAGCCCTCTTTTAAAAAAGTAAATTATAATAGTAAATGCAGTAATATAGTTCAACAGTCTGGTATAATATTTTCTAGCACCATCTCTCCGAACTACATTGCAATAGCTCCACTTCATTTCTTCCTCCAATACACATACATACATGCGTACACATGCAAACACATATTTGCACAAAACCACAATAGATGCCATCTATCCCATAATACACATTACGTTCCAAATAAACTCAGTGATTAGCTCAGTTAAAAACTAGCCCTTGCTCTAATAATTTTAATAATACTTGATTTTCTATTCTTAGATGTTTTAACGAATCTTTTCAAATGTGTTTCTTACACTGACACCCGTTTGTGACGGAACACATTCTTTCTTCACAGGAGATGGAAGACTTTGTCCAGAGCTCTGGAGAAAATGGTGTTGTGGTGTTTTCTCTGGGGTCAGTGATCAGTAACATGACAGAAGAAAGGGCCAATGTGATCGCTGCAGCCCTTGCCCAGATCCCACAAAAGGTTGGATAAAGCGCCTAATGGTGGACAGCTACTGAATCCCTCTGTTCAACTTTGTAAAGAGTATGGCTGCAGAAATTTTCTGTCAAAAGCATTAACTGTTAGTATAGCTCTACTTATCTCAGATATCAGCTCAAACACTAAAAGATATATGGAAGATGCTACAATAGTAAATAGGAGGGTTTTCATTTGTAATAACATTGGCATTAACAGTGTGATCACAAGAAATATACTGAAAAGGTACAGGGAAGTTTTGATATTATTAAATATCATGGTATTGAAAGCATGTAAACAGACATCACTAAATTCTACCCTGTCATTTAATCCTATTTAACAGACTTCCTGAGGGCCCTGTACACACTACAGATATTATCAGAAAGAAATTAAATTTTAGTGAGTGTCTGCACTAGCACAATAACAATCAGCAGGTATTGAGAAAAGTCTGGAATGCATTGCAGGTTAGTGTTCCCATGTGATCTCACCTTTTGTAACTCCTATAAATTTGGAAAAAGCATATCTGGTGTGCGGTCAGGGTTCTGTTCAGAGACAGGATGTTTGGGCTGAGAAATCACTACTCCAGGTACCCACCTAGCCAAGTCAAATTACAGAAAGAAAAACTCACCTGCCTTGCTGGACAGGCCTGGATGTAATGTGAAGTTGCAGGTGGGATCCTGCCCTAACAGAACCTGTGCATTATAAAACGTGGCCCCACAAGACTCTGACCAAACCACTAGACAAACACCGTCCTTTGGATTGAGGAAGGAGAATGGAATAAAGGAAATAATCAGAATGAAGGCAGGAATGGGAAGAGGTTCAGAGACCCCTTCAATAAAATATAGTATGAAAGTATTTCCCATTAATAATATATAGAATACATTAGCAGTCTATGTATATTCATGAATGACTTTTTAAGTTTTCTATCTGACATAAACCTCCCCTAATGACCTGTGCTACTTTTTTGCTGAAAACTCAAAATACTTCAACACTAAAATAGCAAGTGGAAGGTAAACAGGTCTAAAATTTACTCAAGTTTATATGGATTGACCAGGGAGATCTACAGTAAGCTTATTGTGGTACTGGCCATGGAAATGGCTTGGTTATAGTAGACCTTATGAATCACTTCTGTAGCCTATCATCTAAGTGTTTATGATCTATTAAGTAAAATTTTAGCAAAATGGAATTTTGGACTTTTTCAATAGCTGTGTTGTTATTCATCGATTGACCACCAGCACTATTTTTCTACATTGAAAGAATTTTCAAAACCAGAAATAGTGATAACACTCCAGTTTTTGTCAAAAATTGCCACTTGAACTTTTCCTTGGTAGAAGTGCTTAATGAATTCTACCTAACAGTGGTCATGCATACTACCAATGCAGAATGGTTATCTTCCTCACAGGTAGCTCGTCTGACAGATAAGTTTTGTAAATCAAATAATGTCAAACTGTAAAGAAATTACTTATATAAAAAGTACATATGAACAAACGACTACTCATATTACTGAAAAGCTTGAGGTGATAGCCACAATTCCCATGATTGCAATTTACACATTCTATGCCTGTATGAACATACCATGTGTACATAAGTATAAATATTCACTGCCCAAGGTAATTAAATTTAAAATTTGAAAGAAGGAATAAACAGAATATTATTAAATTTAGAAGATG